GCCCAAGTGAGCCTAATCTTGTGGGAATGTGGGACTGACCTGCCCTGGGCCTGGACGACTCTGGGTGTGGCATCTTGGTAGCTTACTTGCTGACCCAGCGTGGTGGGGCACGCATGGCCTCAGGCCAGCCGGCTCCCCACTTTGCTTAGGGCCTTGGTGGGCTTGGGTGAGTTTCGCTTGTTGAAGCCAAGCGGGGCCCAGTGGTGGGTGTTGTCTGTCCTTGAAAGTCAGAATGTCATGTGGTGTTTTCTGACCCTTGTGGGCCCTTGTTCTACCTGTGCACTGTGCTGTGATCCAGGTTGGGTGTAACTGCTTACTGGAAGGTGCTCATCCTCCTTGGGGAGGAGAATAGAGCCCCTGCCCTTCGTCTGGCTCTTCAGAGAGTCAGAAGGAAATCACGTGGAGAAAGGAGTCTGGCTTGAAGGTGCAGCTTGTCTCTCATCATCAGAGACCCTTTTGGAGTCAGTGAAGGTGTTCATTGGTTGGGGCCTTCTTCCGATTCCTCGTTCTTCCAGTCATAAGTGGCCTTTGGGTAACAGCAGAGTGAAGTAAGTGAAGCTAGGGCTGAGGGATGTGGCCCTCAGATTTAATTCCTTCATGGAGCTGGAGGGTTTGCTCTTGATGACTGAATTCCTGGCAAAGTTTTATACGAGTATTTGAGTTGAAGCTTAAATATTTTCTGAGTTTCTTTATGTATAAAATTGGGTTATGGCTTACTTTACAAGGCTTTTGTGAAGGGCAGTAATAATACCTAGGGTTTATGAAATGGTTAATGTGTGCCAGGCACTTTATTCTCACCAAAATCTTAGGGGGTGGAGGCACCACTCTTATCCCTGTTTTACAGGTGCAGAAACTGAAGTGCGGGAAGATGAAATAGCTTACAGTCACACTTATTAAGAGGCTAAAACTGGAATGAGAACCCAGGCCCCTGATCTAGGCTTATTTCCTCTTTATATGTAAAGTTACCCGAGGCTCTTCTCGGCGCACAGTAGCACCGCAGGAAACTTAGTTGAGTACCTGCTCATGCATTTTGCTGGCTGTGTATGGAACAGAATTGAGAGAGGTTTCCAGGGTCTGGTTGGGGTGGAACAGTTGGTGCTCTGGGGAAGAAGGGCTGATGAGAGAGAGCGCCTAGCTTCTCACAGAGGTGAGTCAAGCCAGAGTGAAGTTCTTACAGGTCCTGAGGCAGGATGAAAGTCACCTTCCTCCTCATCACCTCCCTTCCTCCTGCCATGCAGGGTGATGTGAGCAGAGCCCAGGAATGCCTTATGTGGATCGACAGAACCGAATCTGTGGGTTTCTGGACATTGAGGAGAATGAGAACAGCGGCAAGTTTCTGCGGAGGTACTTTATTCTGGACACCCAGGCCAACTGCCTTCTCTGGTACATGGACAACCCCCAGGTGAGAGGCTGCATGGGAAGGTGGCTGGGCGGGGGGGTGTGGTGGCTGGCCTGGGAGGAATGCCAGTGGGATTAGCCTCAAGGGCTTCAGCTCCTGTGGGCAGCATCAAACTGGTACTCAGTGAGGAGGGGAAAAAACCCCCATCAAACACATACACACACACAGGGAACCATCCCAGATGTTAGCTTGAGGAAAAGGAAACTCATCTCTCCTGCCCCTGGGGATCTGGTATCTTTTCTTGCACTCAGGAATTGAACACTCGCGGAAGTCCAGGAGAGGCTGGCCCGGCTGGTTCCGGGCTCCAGGGCATGGCTTGCTGTCTTTCACCAACCTTGTTATGGCTGTGGCCTCGTGACCACTCCTGTTCTTCCAGTCTGGGGCCCCTCACTGGCAGAGAATGTGGCCTGGTTCCTTGAGCTGGACAGATGTTGGACTACTTCGGTCTCGTTCATCAGGAAGTCATAGATCACAGAATCCTGGTTTGGAGGTGACTTTGGTGGTCACCTAGTTTTGCTTCTTCATGCTACAGATGAGAAACTGAGTCTCAGACATTGGAGTTGACTTCATCAAGGACACGGCCAGAATTAGGTGACTTGCCTAGCATTTTGTGGCAGTCAGACCCCCTACTTTCTGTTGCTCATCCTGGGAATCCCTGGAGTCATCACTGGTATGGGAAAAAGTCTCAAGTCTTTTTTCTGGTGCTGTGAGTGCTGCTGGCTCTTTCCTTCCCACTGCCCTGGAGCGGTTTGGTGGACCGAGGCCCCAAAGATTGGCATGGCCCCTGAATGTCAAGTTCACGGCTCATAGCCATGTTGTGGCTAGGAGGGGTGGGGGCTGAGATCTAGCTCTGGTCGAGAGACTTGGGAAGAGGGAAGTCTGGGTGTTAGGGGATGGATTTGTGCTTTAAGATGTGCAGTGGAAAAAGATCACTGTGAGTCTCTAGGTCATTATCCAGGGACTAATCCTCTAGAGGCCTTTGGCATTTGTCCTCTGGATTTGATGGCTGAGAGGAAACGCTATAGATAAAAAAAATATACTCAGGTTAGCTGCCACCTAGTCACCTTCTCCAGGAAAGACTTAACCCTAAGTAGAATTGTGCCCCATGTGTCACTCCACATCCCTGATAACCCTTCTGTTGATTACTTTCATCTGAAGTGCTGGGCTTGCAGGATGAAGCCTACATATGGACACTTATGTCCTTGACTTAGTCTGGAATGCTTGCCTCTGATAATGTTTTGGTCTTGGGTTTGCCTTCTGGCCCTACTCTATCATTTTCCCTGCCTTTGCTCTGTACAGGTGCCCACAGCTGGGTCAACAGATCCACTGTGAAGGGAAGTAGCACTGTTGAAGGAGCTTGGGATCAAGTCTTTGTTGCTGTAGACTTGGCTTCTGGCATGCCAGGGGTGAGCCCCGAGTGACTCATGGTCTCTGGGTTTTATCATTCCCTTTCCCTTTTTCTCCCTTTATGTACTTTCTCCCACTCATCTGTCATATTAGCTAGGGTAATTCAAAAGTATTTTTGTCTTGACATATGTGCTTACTGCCATGCTTCCTGCTAGGACTGTTCTTAATCCAAATGCACTTGCCTAGGGAATCCTGACTAACTGTCAGCAGCCACCTCCTCTGAGAGCTGGTCCCTCCTTCACATCCTGGACCACAGGCTGAGAATCTTGCTGTCAGTGACAGATCACCCAGGGCCACATTGTCACCACCTCAGATTTCAAATGTTGCCAGTTGTCGGGATTTCCCTTGCTCTGTCCTGCCCACTGATTTGACTGTTCTTTGGTTCTAGAACGTGCACTGACCTCGAATGCTCCACCATGGGCTGCCTCACTGGGAACTCTGGGGTCAGCCTCTGCAGCAGGTCCTACCCTGCCTAGGGGGCCTCCTGCACTTCCCTGCTGACTCAGCTCTCAGGAGGCTCTTGGAGCTAGAGTCTTCTTCGAGTTTGAGTTATCAAATGGAACTCGTGGCCACTGCAGGAGAGTCTTGACATTTTCCCCGGAAGCAGAGATTTCAGCTGGCTTGGCCTGTGCCGAAAAAAAACAGTCTTGCTGTGGCAGGGAAATAGTTCTGAACGTTTCACTCCGCCTGTCGTTAGCTTAGCTCTTCGTCGTGTTAGTGGCCAAATAGCCATCCTAGATTTGAGAGTGGCTATTTTTATAAGTTGTAAAATAGTATCAGCGAACACTTACGAGTATGTGGCAAGCACTGTTCTAAAGACTTCAATGGGTTTTCATTTCATTCTGACAAGTCTGATTGGTAGGTATTATTGTCCTCATTCTAAAGGTGACGTGGGTAAGGCAGGGAAGAATTTGCCCACAGTTACACAATGAGAAAGTGACAGAGCTGGGATCCCGGCGCTGGCAATCTCTGACACTGTCGGGCTCTGGTTCCCCTGCCTTTATTTATTTATTTATTAAGATTTTATTTATTTATTTGACGGAGAGACACACAGCGAGAGAGGGAACACAAGCAGGGGGAGTGGCAGAGGGAGAAGCAGGCTTCCCGCCGAGCAAGGAGCCCGATGTGGGGCTCCATCCCAGGACCCTGGGACCATGACCCGAGCCGAAGGCAGACGCTTAACGACTGAGCCACCCAGGCGCCCCACCATCTTACTTTTATAGGGAAAAGGAGATGCCTGATATGGTATCTTAGTTAATAGGCATTCATAAGCGGGAGGTTCTCTCAACCCACGTCTCCGATCTTTGCCTGTCGAAGCTACTTGGGAGTTGGTGTTTCTGGAGCCTGGTTTTACTACACTCCCGCTGCCACTACTATTACTCTTAACTGCTGGTTATCCTTCCTGAGTGTGGAATGCTTTACGTATATCGTCTCATGGAGTCCTTCCAGTGATCCTGGGACTCGGGGGCTATTATCACTCTGGAAGTACTCCGCAAGGTGCAGGAAGTTTGGCACCTTTGTTCAAGGTCACACAGGTATAGCGCTGGAGTTGGCGCGAGGTCTGTGTGTGACTCCAGTGTCTGCGCTCTTCACCTGTGTCCACGTCCTCCTCCCGATGTCTGGGCTCAGCCCTGTGCTCGGTCCCGGGGACCATGTGGGAGGTGAATTCAGTGAAGTCTTTGCCACCAGGAAGCTTCAGGTTTAGCTGGAGAGATGAAAACAACACCCACAACTGCGGTGCTAAAAATCTCGGTGCACCTTTATAACAAGATAGCGCATTGTTGAGTTGAACGGCCAGATGCCAGTAGTTTGGCTGAAGGAGAAGGGGCTGCCATTTTCCTCTGCGGCTGCCCATCTAAGGAAGATGTAGGGCCTCAAGCTGGAGTCTCAGATGGAAAGTTCTCAGGTCTGGGAGATAAGAGATCAAGGCTCTGCCACGAAGTTATTTTGTACATTAGGTAAGTTATTTATCCTCTCCGGGCTGTAGGTACTCTAGATGATTTTTAACATGGCTTTTAGCCCCTCAATTCCTGAAGGGCTGAGAAGAGTGAACTCCTGGAGTTTAGCAACATTGCTTAACGTGTATTTGCTCAGTGCAGAAATACATCCTGTGTGCCATACACCGGTATAGATGCTGAGGTTCCAGCAGTGGATAGACCAAATCTGTGCCTTCATGGAGCTTACGCTGTAGGTGAGAAATGTGGCAGGGAGAGAGGGGCCCCCCTTCATGGAGATCCAGAGAAGGAGGGATGGGTGACATGGATCACTACCACAAGTGATTTCCATTTGTGGGGCATTGTAAAAGTTTAGGTGTATTTTCACTTATAATATCTCCTTTGATTGTTATGCTCCCTGTCCCAGGCAGAGCGGCACGGGAAGAGGAGGGTATTTCTGGGTGAGGGCAATAGCAGTTGTTTGGAAGCCTCTGAGGCAGCACCAAGAAGGAAGGTGAGCTTCCTGGTCAGAGGGGATTTAAGGTCAGGTTCTCCAGAAGAATATCCCAAGGCCAGGAATCAGGCACCAAGGCAAGGATTTGTGCCAAGTTCATTTTTTCTTCTTTCTTTCTTTCTTTCTTTTTCTTTCTTTCTTTCTTTCTTTCTTTCTTTCTTTCTTTCTTTCTTTCTTTCTTTCTTTCTTTCTTTCTTTCTTTCTTTC